TCCATCACGTCTGTTGTGTTGATATTAGTCATGTTGGTGGTCAAGCTGAAGTAGTGCGGCAGTGTTGTATACGTGCGCAGTGAAGCGCCGTGAAATCAGACGCATTTTCAATCCAAATTGACACCGTCTGATTTTATGGCTTGACCAATCAAATTCGAGCATTTCACGTAGCCATGGTAGAATAATAATTAATGCACGGGTATATATATACTCGGCGTCATTAATGAAGGGTCAAGCTATTGGTTACACTATTTCTTATAACAGGGAGACTATATAAGGTTGTAGAGTATCCCTGCTTATAAGTTGTAAAATCTTCGTTTTTGTTTGAAATATATACAACTGAATGTTTTACCAACTTTCTTAACAGTATGGATCAACACATCAGGCGTTTGAAATGTAATTTTATTACGTTCTTCAACGTCCGATACATTCTGTTACAAATAGTACATTATTTATTCAAATTGTCAATATGGAAATCCACCTGCCACTTAATGTCAATGATCTGCACGTGCAAGTCGATCTAACCATGGAAAGTGGAGGACAATACACATGCATTGTTGCTTTTTCACTGTCGTTCACTGTTCGGGTACCTGTTTGAAATAGCAGCTTAAAATGAGACGTTTTTGACACATGCTGAAAGGGGTCAGGTTATAGGCCTTTTGGAATCTGGTCAAACTCAGCGGCAGGTTGCTGTCCGCTTTAAAGTGAGTCAGAGTGCTATTGGTAGACTGTGGCGGAGATTTCAAGCCAATGGGTCCGTGGAATATGCACGTCGACCAGGTCGCCCCAGAGTCACAATACTCCGAGATATTACGTAACAGATTCCTTAACGCATCAGATCTTCAGACAGAACACTGCAATATCCAGGAGCACCGTTCGTCGAAGTTTAAGGGCAGCCGGATCAATCTGCAGGCGACCTGTAGTCGTCAACCACTAACACCACGTCACAGGCAGGCTCGGTTGAGATGGAGTAGACATAATGGCCACTGGAATCAAAGTCAATGGTCTCGTGTGCTCTTCACAGATGAAAGCAGATTCAGTTTGCCCTTCCATGAGGTCCGCAGAGGATTTATCGTCACAATGGAGAGCGAGTCACAGATGCAACCGTGGCCACGCATAACCGATTTGGGCAGGGATAACTCCTACTGGACAGACTCCACTGCACCTAGTCGACGGTAATCTTACCGGACAGCGTTATCGGGACAAGATTCTGGCTCCTATAGCAGTACCATTCCTGCAAACTATGCATGGCTTTTATTGTCGAACCTCTTCACTGCAAGACAAGCCTAGGCCTCATAGGGCCAGGACTGTCATGGAATTCCTTAGGCAGCAGGGTGTAGAGCGGATGGAGTGGCCACCAGACCTCAACCCAATTGAGCATGCCTGGGATGAACTCGGTCGACGTGTGTACACATGTCACCAAGCACCAGTGGATCTCCCAGGACTCCACAGAGCTCTAGTAGAAGAATGGAATGCGAATCCGTAAACTTTCTTTGTGAACTTGATAAGGAGCATGAGAACTAGGTGCACCTGTGTCTCGGATGGGCGATGAGGGCACAAAAGATATTGATCTCGTGTTTGGCATTGGCATTTGTTTGGAGGGAAGGGGAGGGGAGGGTTGGGGGTTTGGTCTATACAACTGATGCTGTATGTCACGATGTGTCAAGTTTGTCAACACATTAAACATTATGATGACACTCTTAGTTCTCTTAGTTCTGAGAAACATTCCTTTACATGCGCTATATATCATTTGACCCTTTATTAATGACGCATAGTACGTAAAGATTTAAGTCACACTCCAGTAATCTATTCTGCTTCAAAAAAATATTATTGATTTACCCCTACTTAAACATCTTGATGAGGGACTTGTTCCTTACAAATAAACATAACTGAGGACAGAATTACAAAACATGGACTTTTTTGGCATACCCTCCCCAAAATCCCCAAATCTAGGCAAACAAACAAAGAGGTTAGTTTACAAGGTTGGGAAAAGCAATAGACTATGCTAACTGCCAGCATTTTGTGTAAAGCAATATGAAAATAGGACGTTAGATCGTGTAGTATGGCAGTTAGCCATACTAAATTCTTCTCATCTACGAGAGTGCAAAAAGTCCATCTCTAGTCTTTGAGGGGCTAAGAATCATCGCCTTCAATTGTCCATATAATATCGAAAGCTACAAAGAACAAATTAAATCATCCGTGCTTGTGTCAAAATGTGTTATCGAGGAAAAATACAAAGCTTTGTAGAGGTGCTCCAGGTGAGTCTTTTAGGAATGACCCAGTTTAGACCACCCGCATCACAGTTTCCAGGAAAGATTGTGACATGAACTGAATTAAAACTGTTTCACTGTGGCCTTGAAAACAAGGCATTACCTGTATTCAATCTGAAATGTAGTCGTTACCCAAAGAGACTTAATTTCGTACCCACTATGCGCCAAAACAATGACATGTTCATTGTTCAAGTGGAGAAAGGCCTTCAACAACTAGCGCCATGCAGAAAGGTCGATTACCTGAGGTACCAGATTGCCAACATACTGGAAGAAAAAGCAAACTCAACCCACGGCAAAATACCTAACAACGCAACAACAGAAGATAACCTGAACAAGGCTCAAAGGCAGATCCTGAGAAAGCTCAGAAATGACCCTGAAATCACTCTCGCCCCAGCTGATAAAGGTAGAGCAAAGGTCATAATGGACACAACCGACTTCGAGACCCTCACTGACAACATCCTCGGCGACCCCAACACCTACCAGCAGATGAAGAAAGACCCAACCGCCCGACTGCAAAGAGAACACAGAGTCCTGCTGAAACGACTCCTAGAAAACAATGAGATAGGCCCAACCCTCCACAAGAAACTCCTGGTCCAGCACCCACAGCCGTCCTATGCCCGAGCCACCATCAAGGTCCATAAAGATCCCATCAAAGCCCTCCTGCTTGTCTGCTCACGGAATACTGTTCATTATTATACTTCCCAGCACCTGTCAAGTCTCCTCGCCCTCTAGGAAAGACAGCCAAGTCCTTTATCGCCGACTCCAGTGAGTTGTGCAGGAAGATCAGCACCATCACTGAACCTGGCAATCTGCTAAGCTTCGACGTGGTTGATCTTTCCACCAATGTCGCCCGTGAAGAAGCCCTCGCCATAATCAAATCCAGAGTAGAAGAAATCCACTCCACCCTTGACACCCACCTTTCTCCTGACAGCATCATAGAACTGATCAACGGATGCATCAGTTCTACCTACTTCACATGGAAAGATACAATAGTGCAAAAGACCCATTGCCTCCCTATGGGTTTCCCACTATCCCCCCTCATCACCGAGATCTACATGACCCACCTGGAAGAAACCGCCCTTGAAACGTCCCCAGTCCAACCAACCTGCTGGTTTCGAAAAGTAGATGATACTTTTGTCATCCTTCCTCCATCTGACGACCCCAACATCCTTCTCCAACACCTGAACTCCCAACACCCCCGGATGCAGTTAACTATGGAATTAGAAACAGACTACCAACTTCCCTTCCTAGATGTCCTGGTCCAGAAAGATGACAATAAGCTCACCACCAGCGTCTACCGCAAACCAACACATACGGACCAGTATCTCTATTTTTCCACCCAGTCACCCTATCCAAGTCAAGAGAAGGATAATCTCTACCCTGACCAGACGAGCCAAGAACATCTGTTCCACAACCGCATCACTAGACACCGAGCTGGACCACCTGGGACACGTCTTCACCAACTACAACAAATATCCTGCATCGTTCGTCGACCAGACCATCAACAACACCCTCAACCCTGACACTAAGCCTCCCCGACAGCAAGCAGCCCCCTTCACCATCAGCCTCCCCTACGTTGGACCAACTAGCCATCACATCCGACGACTCCTCAACAAGCAAGCCAACATTGATGTCACCTTCCAGAGAGGCAACATTATACAGAACCTCCTGCAGGCCACAGGCAGACCCACCCCGGCAAAGAAGCCAGATCCCGCAGGTGTCGTCTACCAGATAGAATGCGACTGTTGCGAATCCTACATTGGTGAAACCTCAAGACCAGTCACTATCAGGACCAAAGAACCCCAGGCCTCAGCAAGAAACAAAGACATAACTGACCACCTCAAAGCCAACCCAAACCACATCTGTTGGAACACCACCAAGGTCATCGAAAGGAACCAGGCTGATTTCACCAGGAACCAGGCTGATTACTTGAAGCTGTCCACATAAAGAAGAATTGCCCAGCTATCAACAGAGATGAAGGACATTTCATCCCCAAGGCCTATCATCACTTGCTGAATTAATTTCATGTAACCTACTCAGCCATTGTACATTATTCCTAGTATAACATCACGTCATTCTTGGCTTCCCAACAGTCCCTTTCTCGCCTATGTACATCATTCCCTACTGGCTGTCCATCAACATCCTTAATCTCTTATGTATACAACCATGTACATCTCCTTTACTGGCTTCCTATCTACCTACTTAATCCAGTGTCATCAACCTCTTCTATTGTATAAACATCTAATTTTCGACTCATCCCTCATCTATTGTCCAAACATATCTCATGTATATATATCACCCAAAATTACTTCTCACGCACCACTTGCTTGACAACGACATTACAATCTATGTCGAAACATGTCATAGACAGTATAAAGAAGTTGTATATCCATAAAATAGTCCACATTCTTGACTTCATTTCACTTAATTATTTTGAATAGACAGTTTGACCATCGTCCTATGTCCACCATGCTTAGTTCTACCTTCAGGGTTTTACTTCGCCGGACAAACCCGGGAGGCCCAGACGACACGCCGGTTACGGTTACAGGAAACATGAGGGTTCTGTAACCATGGAGATGACATATGTAACGGAGCTCTATATTTCTTGTCGACATGTTGTACAGTGAATTTTTATTGTGAGTCCCTTGGACGGAATGTATATTTTACCCGCATTGTTTATACATTTGTGCGTACCGAACACACAGGTAAAACCCTGAATTTACGCTGCAGGTAATGACTGGAGACGTGGAGTCTCTCCCATGAGGAGATTCCAGGACCCTGTGCGTCATGTGTCTCTAGACAGATACATTTTGAAGGGGGTATCTCCCTTGAATCGGCCCGAGGGTAGAGCATCAACCAGACGTGGCGTTTCTCCCTTGAATCGCGAGGATGGAAACAACGACTTTGGACACGATTCCACCATGGCGAAGACGTCAACCCTGCTTAACTGGAGTCTCATGTCTCAGACAGCAAACAAAGTCCCGGGCTTCATCGAAACACGCCAGCCTCGCTTCAAGCCTCCCAAACTCAATCTGGGCATCAAGTCATCTACAAATAACCAGGTAGTCGTTTTTTATATTTTTTTCTTTATTTCATGGACTTTGAATCAGCTTTATTTGGTATATACTTTATTCACAACAAAACACTGAAGTCCACATTAGATTCACTTCACTTTTAACACGTCAATAATCTTTGCTGACAATGTTCCAGAACATGCAGGCATCAAAGAAGGAGACTGTCAAAGTTCCTGGTGCATCAACTGATGCTAAACGGAAACCTCTTCCGTCATCCTCAGAAGTGTCCACCTCCAAGGAACAGACTTCCTCTGTGAAAACAGTCACCCCTTCCCACACAAAGAAGGTGATTATTTCTGTACCCCGATATGTACGTGTTAGATCCTCTGTGTACGTTAAGCTGCCTGACTCAGGAAAAGAACACAAAGATGGCAAATACTAACTAGACAGCCGAGTAGGTTTGAGTTCTGAAGCGACCCATACCTGATTTGACGCCTCGGGCTGAACAGCCTTCACTTTCAATAGGAGGATTAGGTTATCTGTGTTTGTACGTTAAGGCACCCTGTGTGTGGCAGTCATTTTAAGCGTACTTCTTTCTAGGGGCCATCCTTCTGTTCATTGGGGGATGTATCTACACATGACTACCAGAATCAGAATCTGGTTCAGGCAGGGTTTCGTACTTATATGGTTTCCTCGCCAACATCCTGCTCGTTCTGATCTGTTGTCTCTGTATCCACAGCAGGAGTCGCAGATGGACATCGTTAATTCAAGGCATGTTTCAGTTACTGTTGTTTCTCATACTGTTGTTTCCTATACCGATTTTTCTTTCTTCAGTTCTGACACGTTCTAACCATCTCCATTCCTGTATGACCTACTGTGTTGTCCTTCCAGGCTGTGGACGTGTCCACTATGGATCTGCCAGAGTGGAACAGCGATTTATCCCGCTCAGCCTCCTCCTCAAGCACATCCTGCTCATCCTCAACAAGCCTGGACTTGAATGAGGAAAACGTGATGACCAAACACACCGCTGAATCTGATCAGGTAAATAACCTTCATATAACCTGAAGGAGTGAGTGAGTGAGTTTAGTTTTATGTCGCACTTATCAAAATATTCCAGCTATATGGCGGCGGTCTGTAAATAATGGAGTCTGGACCATCAGGTAATTAACCTTCATAAACTGAAGGATGAACACAACATCCTTGGTGTATGCACCAAAAAATAATTCTGTTTGTACCTGAAAACCGCATTCAGCAAAATGGGAGCTTTATGGCGGCGGTCTGTAAATAATATAGCTTTTCACCAGATAACCCACTGATTGACAGCATGATCGTTGATCTACAAAACTTGTCTCTGGGCCATTGTAGGCAAGTGGACCATGCGTGTCTGGTTCGAACCAGACTGTGAAGTTTATCATTGTTACTGTGACTGTTGCGAGCTAAAACTATGATTGAGTGAGTTTAATATTACGCCGCTTTTAGCAATATTCCAGCAACATCACGGCGGGGTACACCAGAAATGGGCTTCACACATTGTATCCATGTGGGGAATCGAACCCGGGTCGTCGGCGAGATGAGCTAACGCTTTGGCCACTTGACTACCCCATCAAAACCAAGGACACTAAGCATGTATAATAAAACATCCTTTCAGACTTCTCCTGCCAAAGCGCCAAAGAAGAAGGTCAGGTTCAGCCAGGTAGCGTGGTCCTCTGACGTTGACGAGAGAACAATAAAAACGAGATTCTCCAAGCCTCAGGTCAGTGACACAGCCAATGGCAATGAAGCTGGTAATAGATTTAAGTCCCAGGCTCTAATACAATTTGTACCAGCGAGTCACCTTTAACCAACTTCTGGACACACACGATATCCCTGTGAATAGTATGGAAGGAGAAGTATAATCTTTACTGTAGTATATTTATTGCTTTTCCTGTATTATGCAGGAAAATCTGTGACTTTCAACAGTTCATCATGGAATTGATGATCGGTGGCATAAGACAGTTTCCTTTGTTTCAGTCACGAGCATTCACGATCTGCAGTGATGAGAATCAGGTAAGGAGTACGATAAAATGTAATGTCAGTGAGACTAATTTTGAAGATTACTTTCATTGTATGAATGTAGTTTGTTCTTCATGTAATATTCTTCATTCCAACATCATATTTTGCAGTCCGAATGTGATAGAGACGGCCAACCTCTGCTTCGTCCCCCACCGCCCCCTCTCGTCCCATACACCAGGGACGCCAACCGTCGCCTGGTACCCCCCATGTCCAAACTGAGCCTGGAGGACATCCAGCTGGTAGGTGAACCATGGACACCACGTGTCGGGATACATCCTGTTGTCGTCTTCCTTCTAGGGGCATATTGCTTTATTAACATTTGACAACTGCCAAAGGTAATGTAAATTTGAAATACGTGTGTTTCAGTATGTAGAGCACACAATCAGGTTATATTGACAAGGCCATTATAGAATAGTGCTGAGTGTGACGATCAGCAGCCGACAACAGATTAATGTTTCATTGTCTACTGTTTTCACAGATCAACGAATCGAGGAAGAGGAGGAGGGACATGTCCTCCGTCCACACAAGCGATGTCAAAAAGAGGAAGGTTGCACCTCCGGACGGCAGAAATGAGGTCGGATACGTTACTAGACCCAAACAATGGTGGCTGAGAAAGCGCAGGCAGTTGAGCAGGAAACAGGACAAGCAATCTTCCTCCTCAACTTCTTCCTCTGCTGTCAGCGCAACTACTTCGGCTACCACCGCTTCACCAGGGTCTGCCTCTTCCTCTTGTCCAACGTCCATCTCTGCTGCCCCAACCGCCTTCTCTTCCCACAGGAGATCCTTTAAGAGGAGGGCACCAGACGATGACTGCTGCTCTGGTGATGGCGTCAAGCGGTCTCGTCTCAACTAGGTCGCGCAACAGCCTAACAGAATAACAACGCTTCAGATAAACTGTCATGGCATAGTATATTTGTACATATTTGTTCTGATTTCGAAATAAATATCGTCTCAGCCTAGCCAAGATAGGTCCCAGTACTGCAGACTTGTTGTAACAGGCGACAAAGTGGTGGTCGGGCAGCAGAGCGTAATTCGTAATTCGTACCTAGAAGACATCTTCTCAGATGAGTCATCTGTTTGCTCATACTATCACCCACTGGTTTGTCTACTCCAGACTCGACCACCTTGCAGGCCGCATTGGCGTAGCTGCAATACTGCTGACGGCATAGGTAGCCCAACTCTTCATTCAATTGAAAAATTGAATTGGCCTCATTAAAAGTTTACTTACGTCGTTATTGATTTATGATAAACTTCAGAGTTTGCGCCATCCGTCAGTTAAGTCATTTTCATCACCATTTAAGCATTGTATGTAAATATTTGTATCAAATTGCTGTATATTGTTTAAATATTTGTATAAATATATGTTACAAACATTGAATATTTTACACATACGTTAACATGTTTAGTGTCCAAACTTGATAAAAATATTTATGCTTAAAAGGTTCTAAACAATGTTACATATTTGTGCTACAACCTTTGCATACTGTTCAATGGATAGATATATATTTTTTGTTAAAGAATATATCCTTTTTATCTTGTTATATACACAAGGCATTTTTGCTATTCTTTGTTATTTTAATAAATTCTTAAATAGAAACTCCGTGTTTTGTTAGTTTCATATGCGCAAGTTTCTCCCTCGAAACGTCTCGTCAGACAATGTGTGAAAATCAAAATCCTATGCAAGACAATGACGTTTTTTTGCTGCACCTGAGATTGATACTCATGATGTTGGTCACTGGATTATCTGGTCCAGACTAGATTTTTTAATGACGTCATAAAGCTGGGATATTGCTGAGTGTGGCGTTATACAACAAACAAACAAACATGTCATCTGGGGTCTCAGGCTGGCGACACAGCCCTGTGTTCTACAACGGAAAACATTTCCCCGCACAAAGATCTAGACTAACATGGACCACCAACGTTGCAGGAACGTCAAATATATCGCGAAATAGATTCCCAACAATGTTTACTTGATCTTCAAGGGGGCGGTCGGGTAGCCTAGTGGTGTAAGCGTTGGCTCGTCACGCCGAAGACCCGGGTTCGAATCCCCACATGGGTACAATGTGTGAAGCCCGTTTCTGGTGTCCCCCGCCGTGATGTTGCTGGAATATTGCTAAAGAGCGGCGTAAGCGGAAAGGAGACCACTCGAAACTTTCAAACTCAGTCAGTCAGTCTTCTTGGGAGGTTACGGAAAGGGGCGAGTGAAGTAAGTCGGAGTGTCGGTGACTGTTATGTGGAGCAATTACGACATACCAATCAGAATGCACGTAAGGATTGAGGTGCTTTGATAGAAATATTCCCGACTACCTAAATGAATTATGGCACTATGTAATCCTTTAAACAAGTGTGAAAAATGAGGATCCACATACAAAAACTTCATGAAACTTAACTAAAATTCCAAATGTCTTCCTATGTAAGGTAAGTGTTTTAATTCAAACAATGTAAAATTATGCTCACGCAATTGGTTTAAGGATAAGACTGACTAGCTCGGGTGGTCAGGCTCGCTGACTTGGTTGACACATGTCATCGTTTTCCAATTGCGCAGATAGAAGTTCATGATGTTGATCACTGGATTGTCTGGTCCAGACTCGATTATTTACAGACCGCCGCCATATAGCTGGAATATTACTGAGTACAGCGTTAAACGACAAACAACCAGAAAGAATAATACGGGCGTCCGCCATATAGAGGGAATATTGCTGAGTGCGGCTTAAAACTAAACTCACTCACTCACTCACTAAGGATAAGAATAACAGAACAGAAAAGAATTTATTCAGTATAAGGGCCTGATGGCCGAGAGTACAATAAAGTTAAGTAAATACATTTCAGTATCAAGAAACAGTTGCCTTAAAGGTAATGTTTATACATTTATAAGAAACATGGCTACATTTGGAATAGTTTTAACATTTTTGGTACTTAGAAGACTATACACATTTAGATGAGATGGAATGTATTTTTTACGAATAGCTAAATATTTCTCACAGATAAACAAAACATGAAATTCATCTTCTAATTATCCGAATTTACAAATTGAATTACTGAAATCATTATCTTTAGATTTACGATAATTGTTAGTCTAAGGTCATGTGAAGAAATTCTACATTTAAGAGATAGATTAGAACAATATTGTTTCTGACGATTGTGTTGACCATACACCAGGATGACTCCCTATTGTAATATGCTTTACGTGTGCAGTAGCTACTGATTGCCTGTAACGTTCAAAGACGGGGTAGCCAAATGCAGGCCTACCATACAAACGGTGAACAAATGAAATGGTTAAAGCTTCGCTCGTCACGCTGAAGACCCGGGTTCGATTCCCTTTATGGGTACAATGTGTGAAGCACATTTTTGGTTTCCCCAGTCGTGATATTGCTAGAATATTGCTAAAAGCGGAGTAAACCTAACTGAATCAATAATTGTAACTATGTACCTCTTGACAAGGAATAACAGCCTTTAAGAATTTGTGTTTACTGACAACTCCACTGGGCCACTGATCTGTTTGTTTCGTTGGAGTTTGGATCTTTTATCCTCCTTAAAAAGGCGTTAATCTTTTTAATCAGCGATACTGTCTCGGTCTCCAGTGCGATATCGCTGTTTACAACCTGCCATGGTGCATGTTAAGAAACATTATGGCTGGTGCAGGTTACCTTTAGTAACAGGTTCCACCTGGTGCAGGTTACCTTTAGTAACAGTTGCACCTGGTGCAGGTTACCTTTAGTAACAGGTTGCACCTGGTGCAGGTTACCTTTAGTAACAGGTTGCACCTGGTGCAGGTTACCTTTAGTAACAGGTTGCACCTGGTGCAGGTTACCTTTAGTAACAGGTTGCACCTGGTGCAGGTTACCTTTAGTGACAGGTTGCACCTGGTGCAGGTTACCTTTAGTGACAGGTTGCACCTGGTGCAGGTTACCTTTAGTGACAGGTTGCACCTGGTGCAGGTTGCCTTAGTGACAGGTTACACCTGGTGCAGGTTACCTTTAGTAACAGTTGCACCTGGTGCAGGTTACCTAGTGACAGGTTGCACCTGTTTACCTTTAGTAACAGGTTGGACCTGGTGCAGGTTACCTTAGTGACAGGTCACCTGTTTAGTAAAACTAGTGACAGGTTGCACCTGGTGCAGGTTTTTAACAGGTTGCACCTGGTGCAGCGCTTGATTAGTGTTGCACCTGGTGCAGGTTACCTTTAGTGAGATAGGTTACGTAACAGGTTGCAAGTGCAGGTTACCTTTAGTGACAGGTTGCACCTGGTGCAGGTTACCTTTAGTAACAGGTTGCACCTTGCATTACGAGTGACAGGTTGCACCTGTTTACCTTTAGTAACAGGTTGCATGGTGCTGACAGGTCACCTGTGCAGGTTACCTTTAGATGCGCAGGTTATTCAGTAACAGTTGCACCTGAGGTGCATGTAACAGGTACTATAACAGTTTGGTAGGTTACCTTTAGTGACAGGTTGTTGCAGGTTACCTTAACAGTTGCACCTGGTGCAGGTGACAAAATCCTTCAACATCTTATAGCTGTCATCAAATTGGGAAGTAAAGACTGGAAGTAATAAGTCATTTCGACTTGTTACAAGCATAAACATTTGGTGTAATGTAGCAGTAATCATATAATTGATAAATGAAGGTAATTCAACTTGCAGAATCATTCCATTTATCATCATTGTAAATATTTACTCAATAACTGATTTTCTTTTTTAGATGGTAGGGTTGCACTCGGTGCAGGTAATGAATAAATCGAAATCCCAACCTGCCCGTTGTCTCGCAGTAAGATCGTTAGTAAAACTAATGTTAGATTTTGTTTCAGCGCTGATAGTGTCGATACGTGTACATGTATCTGACAATGATGTAGTCAGCTGGTATGCTGGTACATACACTGGTGTTTACCTGCCCCCAATGTAAATATTTCTAAAACTGCGACATGTATCCAAAGTATACAACCTGCGATACGATACATCACGATACTAAAATTTTAGTCAAGACGATATATTGCCAAAGTATTGTGCACTGAAGCTGCGATACGATACGAATCCCGATATAAGGGTGGCGATACGATACGTTACGTATCACGATACTAAATTCTAACATCAACTATAAAACACCTTATGGTGCGGTCCCAGTGGCGACCTCGGGAGCTCGACCGACTCGACCTCGCAAACTACTCGACCGGTCTCGACCTGGGTGGTATCTCGACCTCAAAACGACCTCATAACGACCTCGTAAGGACCTTTACGACCTTAGTTCGATTTTAGTTCGACTTCAGTCGACCTATCTCGACTTAGGTCGGCTAAGTTGAGAAGACCTATACTCGACCAGCTAGACCTGTATATCGACCTAATTTCGAATTAATTTCGTCCTAAGTCGACCGGCCCGACTTCACCACGACTTGTGTTCGACCGGAGCGACTGGTTCTCGACGGAAATTCCATTTGTCTGCCCAGTAGACCCTTGGTTTCCAAATTGTATAAATTACAGCGTGCATTTTCACCAGGTACCCATTCAATTAGAGGACTGCAAAGTAGTAACATCACCATCAGGAACCTTGACGTAAACCTGGTGAGCCCCGAGAAGCGAAGACTGCTTACCATTTGGGTGCAGATAGCCTGGCACCTGCTTGAACTGGTGGATGACCTGGAGAATGCCAACCCTCCTCCAAAGCCAAAGCCTCAGCCGTAAGCACATCAATCCTATCCTTGAATCCTTCAAAGCTGAGTATTGGTCAGATGAGTGGGATCAGAGTAGATGGAATGCTGTAGCCCGTGCTTTCAAGGAAAGGTGGTAATTTTCATATTGCATCGGTGCGTTTGATGGCAAGCACATACGCATCAAGAAGCCCCCCAAAAGCGGGTCCCTCTTCTCCCACTACAAAAACTTCTTCTCTATTGTCTTGCTGGCACTCGCGGATGCCGACTACAAGTTCCCGTGGGTGAACGTCGGGGCCAAGGGATCAGCATCAGACGCTAATGGTCTTCAACCATTCACGACATCGGATGGAGGGCGATGACCTTGTAATCCCCGTATGGTGTGCCATACTTCATCATCGGAGACGATGCCTTTCCACTCCGCCCCTGGATGATGAAGTCCTTTTCCATGCGTCAGATGGACCCCGATCAGCAGATCTTCAACTGCAGGTAATTATTCTTTTCCATAAATACCTAAATCAAATTATAACTTAGTATCTTTGGGTGTCTGCAATATTATATCAAAGGTTTTGAAGTTTGAATGCATTTGACTTAAAAATGTTTAATTTGTGACTTTTGCAGACTGTCTCGGGCCAGACGAGTGGTGGAGAATACCTTCGGGATTCTGGCTGAGGTTCCAGATCTTCCTCGGCTCCCTAAACAGATATCCCAGGCCTGCGTCACTTTACACAACATGCTGAGAACGAGGAACCGGAACAGTCAGATGAACCTCATAGACCGGGGAATGGGGACTGTTCACTCACCCCAGGCAAGTGGCGCTCCTACACACAGCTGCTTGATGGGGATAACCGGGGTACGAGAAACGTTACCCCACTAGACGGAGCCAACCAAAGAAACTATTTGAAGGACTATTTCATGGGCCCAGGAGCTGTTCATTGGCAAGAGAAGATGATATCCAAATGACTTTAAAGTGTACTCTATAATTTAGGACTACTTCATTTACAAAGGAACTCTTGTTTGTTTTTTATTTACACTATTTACAATTGGTAAATGCGGAAAAAACACACAATGAAAACTAACTATATACATGATGAACAAAACAAACTTTATTACAATCGTACAAGATGTATTTACATTTACACTTAGCAATGGATGGAAAATACAAAAAAAATATCAGATAAAAAAGCTTTTAAATCTTGTATTGGAAACTCATTTAAATAATCTGAAGGTAACATTTCACATCAGTATAAAGTGCTCATGACAGTATATGAGTACCAAGTTCTACTTCTCAGTTTCACTGTCCTTGCTGAGAGTCCTGAACATGTGACTGATCCTCTGAGGTGTGTGTAGGGTCCAAGAGACCGCTTGGCAGGTACAGAGATATACCTGCTGCAGCACTGGAGTCAAAGCTGGGGAAGATACCAGCCTGTTTCGCTGCTTTGCGGCGTGTTGGAGAGGGTTGTGTGCTCAGGGTGGACCTCTGGGTGGCAGCAGGTTGGTGTGGAGATGATGTGCTACCACTGGCTGCCGTTTGGCTTTAATGAAGCATCTGGGAAGATGGCGACCATTTATGCGGTCGGCGCGGACTCGATTAGGTCGTGTTGAGGTCGAAATAAGTTGACTTCAGGTCGACTCGGTCGACTCCAGGTTGAGTCCAAGTCGAGTCCAGTTCGAGTTGGTCGACTCAAGGTCGAGTCGAGGTCGAGTCGAGGCCGAGTACAGATCGACTCTAAGACGAACACAGATCGGCATGTCAGGCCAGCTCGACCTTCAACTCGACCAACTCGACCTAATGTCGACCTAAACTCGACCTTTTTTCGACCTGGTCTCGACCCCATCTCGGACCGAAGGTCGAGGAGGAAGTCAGGGAAAAATTTTGACATGTCAAAAATATTTCAAAAACTTGGTAGACCTGATTCGATCTGACTCGACCTGACTCGACCTAACTCGTTCTGAAACTCGACCAACTCGACCCCCAATTCTACCTTCATGTCGAGAAGGTCGAGTAGCGTGAGGTCGGCTCTGAGACCGCACCATTAAGATCAAAACAAAACCGTTTTAAAGTATTTCATCAAATTCCGCCAGCGTTTTTCAATGTTCATTCGGAAACGAGATAATTAAGTTTATACACGGACGTTGTGACTGTTGATAACATGCGAGCGCTGTGTCTGACAGTTCTTGACGCAAGAATTTCCGAGAAAACGTTACACTTTACCTATGTAGTGAAAATAAGTAAGCAAATATTTTAATCATTAAACAAAAGTAAGTCCTTTTTCTTGACAGATATCGCGATTCGGCAATATTCAAAGTTAAACATCGATGTATCTTGGTCCATTTGAAGTATCGTATCGGGATAGACGACAGTGTAAAACTTTGTATCGATTCACTGTATCGGCGGCCCATGAATCGATGCATCGACCTGTGAGCTGGACCCGAGACGATCCGGGGTTAGAATTGGTCTTCAGTAATTCATGCTTACCGTGAGAGGCGACTAACGGGACCGGGTGGTCAGGCTCGCTGACCTGACTCACACATGTCATCGTATCTCAGTGCCGTAGAAGGATGCTGTTGATCACTATATTGTCTGCTCCAGACTCGATTATTTACAGTCCGCCGCCATATAGCTGAGTGCGGCGTAAAACTAAACTCACTCACTCACTGTGAGCTGAATATCACGAAAAACACTTTTCAAAATCTTCGCTTTTAGTTTCGGAAAATAAAGCAAAACTTCAGCTGTGTACTTTCTTTTGTACTTCAGTTTCAAACGGTGTCTTGCCAAGTCGTGTTAGACTCATTAAGCCCTTCTCTCATAGATTCAGATATAACGTTGCCTCGACCCTACATATTCATCATTCAGTCATCATTTTTAGGCTGCGTAGAAGCTCATTTAACTCGAAGTATTTACGTATTTCACTTCAACTTCGACACAACAGTATTTATTCCATCTCCGTCAAGTCCCATTCCACCCGAGCACAGCGCACTAAACATAGGTGTACAGTTTGTGACGTCACTCAGATGAAATTATGTTTCGGAAGCCAAATGGGGCCACTTACATTTTTTTACATTTTTACAATTTCTCGGTATTTCAATTACTTGTAGATTCGTTTCTAAATTTCAGGTTTTCATAATTTCTCCGATTATTTCTCGATTATTTTCTCGTAATTTCAAAATTTCTGACAGTAATGAAAAAAGACTGAAGATATTCCACGTATGAAAAAAATAGCCCACAACTATTCAAGGATCGGTCGAGTCCGGTCTTTTGGGCTAGGTTGTTTTTGCATAAACCCGAAACAAGACTGACAGGCCTCGTTGGCAAATACACTCCGTTTAACCAGAATATATAGAAACAACTTTTACCTTCCGCGTAGACTGAGTCTTGGTCTAATGTTGTTTTACGACGCAGCTGGCATTATTTCTTGCAATGATGAGGTTAAATCTTCATGACACCATTGAATACTACATCCTACGATAAACATATATATTTTTTCGAACTTTCGAGTTCCCCTGGTTACTTACTTTCTATATTTCAAGCCTTTAAAAGAATCTGGAATTTCGAGTTATTTCTAGATGTTCCGACTTATTTCATCATTATTTCAATACTAGTAATTTAGATCGTTTCTTTCATTATGCCATTCGTAGTTCAAGAATATCCAGTGATCAACAGCATGAGCATCGATCTACGCAACTGGGATACGATGACATGTGTCAACCAAGTCAGCGAGCCTGATCACTCGACCCCGTTAATCGCCTCTTAGGACAAAGCATGTGTTACTAAAGATCAATTCTAACCCGGATCTTCACGAGTTTTCAATGTAAGAGCGAGATGATTAATGTCTTTCAGTGGCATTTAGAAGTTGTACATTGATGTCCAAGATATTTTTATGGATTAAACTTCTTTATAATTTCCCTCACGACATTTCGAGACCATTCCAGGTCCCTTCATCAGGTGAACTTGTGAATGAAGTTCACCTGATGAAGGGACCTGACATCGAATTATAAAGAAGTTTAATCTCAACCCGATGAAGGGACCTGGAATGGTCTCGTCGTGAGGGAAATTATAAAGAAGTTTAATCAATAAAAATGGTCTCGAAACGTCGTGAGGGAAATTATAAAGAGGTTTAATCCATAAAAATGAAGTTCACCCGATGAAGGGACCTGGAATGGTCTCGAAACGTCGTGAGGGAAATTATAAAGAAGTTTAATCCATAAAAATGAAGTTCACCTGATGAAGGGACCTGGAATGGTCTCGAAACGTCGTGAGGGAAATTATAAAGCAGTTTAATCCATAAAAATATCTTGGACAGAGATGATAAATGTTATGGAATTGTGACGTCATTAACAATGAACGAAAGTAAGTTTTTGTCTAGTCTTGTCGGCGTCCAAGGTGCAATGGCGAGAGCTACTACACGGACATCCTCGATAATCTCCAGGGTATACGTTACGATCACTCTCCACTATACCCTGGATGCATCCACGGCTTGGCCCGATAATTATATTACCTCCCTTGGCTGGCTTTTTATCCAATCAGGTGTCTACGCTGGGAAGCTGAGCGAACCAATCACGACTCACTTTCGCTTCTGAAATTATCTAACAGTTTAAACTTGGCAACACAATTGATGCAAAGGTACTCTGAAAGAGGTAGAAGGAGTTCTTTTATATATTTTTTGAAAGTTTCAGATCTGTCAATTTGTCTGTATTATTTCCTCAAAACTCTGAGTGGCACTGCGCACAAACCTTCGCGACTGCGACCTCTATCTTTGTTGACACTGGCAAGCTCGGATGTAACGGCGGCTTAGCTGATTGGCTAGTGTGAGAATGCGGAGCCAGCCAAGGGAGGTAATATAATTATCGGGCCAAGCCAGGGTATAGTGGAGAGTGATCGTAACGTATACCCTGGAGATTATCGAGGATGCTACACGGACAACGGAAGGTCGGGAGCTGTGTGATGCCAAAATGCGTTAAAAGACGAAACTTGTTGTTACTGTGCCTGGCTTTCGGCATTTCAGATGGATAAAACTAGGATCAGTCGGTTCGGAGTCAGCTTATACTGTGAGGCAGCCGTGTTATACTGCAGCAAGGTACCTCAGTTTGCCTATACTTAAAAACCGGCGTTAGTCCAGTCGACTCACAGTGCAACATCAGGGGCGGGCCCCTGCACACACACACACACACACGCACGCACGCACGCACGCACGCACGCACACACACACACCTCTTCTGGATCCGCCTATGAACACACTTATATCCGTATGCTTGACACAGTGGACCATGTTTAAGCAAAATGAATGCAAACAACTCTAGCTCTGTATATATTTTTTAATTCAACAGTTAGTCGGAAGCAATACCCAAATTTCTTAAAACATCAATTCATTTTCTGTAACAATTAAAACGAAAACTTGATGAATATGTCATTGAAATGCTACATCTCGGGTAGTTATTCGTCACCAGATTGGCTTTGGGTGATACCCTGGAACAAAGGGATCATAATCAGTTGTTTTACAATAAATTTTTTTATATCAAACAAAGCAGGGAATCAGCACGGAAAGTATGAAATGCATGTACAGTGTAAACTCCAAACATGATCCGATGCATTTAAATCAGATTGTCTTCGACCCGATGCCTCTCTGCTTGAACCCGTGAAGATCAGGGTTAGAATTGATCTTTCGCAACCCATGCTTGTCGTAAGGGGCGACTAACGGGATCGGGGGGGGGGTCAGGCTCGATGATTTAGTTGATCCATGTCATTATATCCCAATTGCGTAGATCGATGTTGACCACTATAGTCTGTTTGCAGTGAAAACGTACCGATGAATTTCACTTTAAACAAAAAAGTAAATCAAATTAAGTGAAATTAACATTGCGAATCCTCATAATCTTACCTTGCCAAATGGACAAATCTCAGAATTTTATTCAACTTAGGATAAAAGTTGTTTAACAAACGATCATAGATTCAAATCGCTATCATTTGTTTTAAAGTGCATACCCCCTTGTAATACAAACCAATAATACCGATTTGAAACTATGATCGTTTGTAATCTTAAGTTGAATAAAATTCTGAGATTTGAATGTTCAATTGGCAAGGTAAAATTATGAGGATTCGAATCTTAATTTCACTTTATTCGATTTACTTTTTTTGTTTACAGTGAAATTCGTCGGTACGTTTTCACTGCAAACAGACCATCTACAAGCCGCGTAACAGACCGCGTCACACACACACACACACACACACACACACACACACACACTGCTTGAGGGTCTGACAAACGGGTTAAGAGGGCCGAGTGAGGTGAACCATGAACGAATGTAGACCAGAAAATCTAAATCTAGGATGCATAAGTTTGCCCAATTATTCTATGCTTGGATTGAACACATTTCTATGCACTCTCCAGAGACTGGGAAACCTTATCACATGGATTCAATAATAATCGATTCGGATCGGTTCAAAGTTCGATCATAACAAAATGCACACCCAGAAATCAAATATTGGGTCTATGTGACATGGCGATCAGAAGACGGCAGACTGTTCCTGATATCCACAGCATAATAATAAAGCGACCATAATCATTTCCATTCTGAACTGCCAGTCTATCTTCATTTTGGTTTCCAACGCGCTCCGCCTTCATAAGCAAATGAATCGTGTCGACTTTTCCATTGGACCCTATCTCCGGTTGTATATGCTCATTTGTGAGAGTTCGTTTTTTCGCAAAAAGAAGTTAAAAATCTTTGCGCTGAATGGATGATTAGAAAGTTCCCCTGACGAGAGGTTTATCAGATTTTCAGCCTTGTTACAAATGCTGGACCCGTGAAGATCCGGGGTAGAATAGGTCTTTAGCAACCCATGCTTGCCACAAAAGGCGACTATGCTTGTCGTAAGAGGCGACTAACGGGATCGGGTGGTCAGGCTCGCTGACTTGGTTGACACATGTCATCGGTTCCCATTTGCGCAGATCGATGCTCATGCTGTTGATCACTGGATTGTCTGGTCCAGACTCGATTATTTACAGACCGCCGGCAAATAGCTGGAATATTGCTGAGTGCGGCGTAAAACTAAACTCACTCACTCACTCACAATGGTGAGAGACGTTAACTTACCTTGTTCCTATCCCTCGCTGGTGGAACATGACCTGCAACATAAGGAACTTGTGTCACCACCCTCTCTTGGAAAGACTATATCCTGACATTTCTCTTGTTGCGACAAATTGGGTCGAGTGGCGGGCGGGCTCATGGTATCAAACACTGACGCGACTGGTGAGGTGAGGTGAGGTGAGGTGAGGTGAAATTGGGTTTTACGTCGTGCTTGAGAATATTTCGCTCATATGACGACGTGCATGCCTGTGTATGTGTATGTGCGGCTGCTTGTACTAGCCCAGACTTAAGCTGGTTTTATAGTGCTAGCCCACTTAGATACCATGCCGCAGTGAAGCATGAATACCCCACTCGGACACATTATACTGACTCCGAGCCGACCAGTCCTTGTTGTACCCATTAATGCCGAGCGCCAGGCAGGGACCAACAAGTACCATATTTTAACGTCTTTTGGTATGACGCGGTCGGGGATCGAACCCGCGACCTTCCGCTCTCCAGGCAGACGCTCTCACCACTACACCACGGAGGCGGTCGACTCGACCGATAAACATGTCATCAAAAGCTGGAATACTGTGGCATCGTAACACAAGAGAGAGAGAGAGAGAGAGAGAGAGAGAGAGAGAGAGAGAGAGGGAGGAAGAAAGAGCATGTGGTGTATATAAAGACGTGTATATATTTATACTCACTGTGAGGTTGGTTTCAGTATGCAGCAACCTAGTAACTTAATACCTCTCTTGCCAGCACATGGGTCGCTTTGGAGACTGAGCTGCGCCATGAGGCACACCAGCAGAAGGGTCAGAGCTAGCCTGAGCAGAAGGCTCTGCAACATACCAGTAAACAACATTAACGAGAGAGAATTACTTCACGGCTACATTCAGTATCCCATTACATTAAAGCATCTTCATGTTGGATAAACCAAAAAGCACGGGTATGACAAATCAAGGAACATAATCAAGGCAAACATTGGATTCAAACAACTGACCCATACACAAATAAGGGAGACCACTCAGTGTAATTCTTTGAATTTCATTTTCATGAAGAATTTGCTTTTGAAAAATAGAACAGCTGTCATCTTTTCCATTTTGACCAGAAAGTTCAACGAACTGATCAATTTGTTGTTGCCAACATTGCGAAAAACAAGTGAATGATGTATATAAGAGCTGTTGCACTCAAATACTTACTAAAGACAAACAGACTTATTAGAGTAACTTACATGCATGATGAATAGTGCAGTTGTTGATAGTCGAGCGTAAACCAGGTGTGAACGACTCACCGATATTGTGCTCGTATATTGGCACAGCGGTCGGTCTTATAGGAAAGCTGAGGAGGCGTGTCAAATAATCCTACCCATATATGGCATCGTCCAATCGGAGCTTACTCTACCATCCGAGTGTATTTCTCACAGCGGTGTCAGGTTTACTTGCAAACGAGGCCCGTGTGTTCTTCTGCTAGCCTGTCACGTATGTCCTAGATATAGGTCACGCAAGCACTATTGAGTATAGTCTTCCTTGAACAGTGAACATCATGTTTGGTGTCTGGGGAGTACACTTAAATACGCGGAGGTAGGGTAGCCTAGCCGTTAAAGTGTTCTCCGAAGACCCAGGTTCGATTCTCCTGTTGAGTCCAATGAGTAGATCTCACTCTGGCCTCCCTAGCCGTGATATTGATGGACTATTGCTACAAGCAACGTAAAACCATACACACTATTATTTAAACTCACACCTAAATAGACATGCCTGTTTTACTTGTTTTAACATATCACACTAAGATCTGTACAAATTAGAATTTCAAAATAATTGCGATTTCGTCGTACACAGATATTGTATGATTTATATTCTTCTGCCATTAACATCGATACTTTGAATATACATACATCACTTGATTTCTGAATCATGTTACTTTTACAAGTATTCCGATCGTGTCAAAAAGGTGACTACCAACCAAATCTTACCGACACTTAAATACGAAATACATGCATGCATTCAGGTGGCCCGTGGGCCTGTGCATAGAGCCCAAGGCCTAGATTTTCGAAGCTCTCTTAGCGCTAAGATAGTTTTAAGTGCCATACGTTAACATTAACTTACGACTTCGAAAATCTTGGCCCAGGTCACAAATCAGGTGAAGGTTTTTCAATTTTGAAGGTCAAAAACACTTTTTTCAGCTTGGTATCCTATTTTTTCTTGATCAGCACCCTTTAAATCGGTAAAATAGCCTGGATACCAAATCCTACTAAAACCTGCCTCTTGCATTACTTTTATCCACAATCGGTCCTAGTCTATCAGTCCTGCCCCACCACGAAGCGCATGTGATACACGTGGTCTGGCCTTAGGCAAGTGAGTTTGTTCAAACTTGCCTCTGTTCACCCAGCAGAAAATGGGTACCCGGTGGGATAAGTCATTAACTAAGACTATCAACCTTCCAGCGCCTCACAGGCAGCTTGGGTTATCCGGGGTAATAATATTCAGATTGCAGCGCTTTGAGCGTCACACACACACACACACACACACACACACACACACACACACACACACACACACACACACACACACACACACACACACACACACACACACACACACACACACACACACACACACACACACACACACACTCACACACACACTACCTACCACACACACACACACACACAGAGTGGTGCGGAATTCAGCGCATTACACATGCCGTTATAATTATTGTTTGTCCGTTTTGTGTTGTTTTGTTTTTGTTACATGTGTGTTCCATATATATATATATATATATATATATATATATATATATATATATATATATATATGTGGAGAACAGTTACTAAAGAACAGTTCATTGTTCTCTAGCCTTTAAATTTTGTGGAAAACACGTTAATTTCAACCTAAAATGCGCGTACGTCATGCCACGGTTTACAGAAAATCAGCGGGTATGCTGCAGACTAAAATGGCTCAAAATGAAGTGGCCACACATTTTGGTGTCCATCGATACACGATCTCATCTCTATGGAGACGTTTTCAACATAATGGGAAACACGAGAGATTTGCCTCGGATCAGCCGTCCACGCGTGACGTCAATTCAGCAAGACAGTCACATTCGGCTGACCCATCTAAGGAATCGATTTCAGACAGCCAGTTGGACTGCTCGGGCCATTCCTGGGCAAGTCCAATCAGTTCCAGGACTGTACGGAACCGACCGAGGGAGCACAACATCCGGCCCAGGCGGCCTGCAATATGTCCAGTTTTGGTCCAACGTCACCGAAAGGTACGTCTTATCTGGTGCAGGCAGCATCTACGGTACAGAAGACAAGATTGGGATGGTGTTTCGTTCATTGACGAGTCAAGACAACTCAGATAGCAAGACAAGGGTGTACAGACGGCGATATGAACGGTATGCTGGCGTGTGCGTTGTTCATCGTCAACAGTTTGGTGGCGAAAGCGTTGTGGTATGGGGAAACATCACATCTCACGGTGGGCCACAACCGACATTGCCAATGGCACTCTGACAGGTCTGCGTTACACGGATGAGATCACTGGACCTCATGTGCTGCCGTTTATTCAAGGACAGAGACGTAACTTCACGCTTCAGCAAGATAATGCCCGTCCAAGTGTCGCTCGTGTTGTGTCAGATTTCCCGAGACCGCAGAACATTCCGGTACTCCCCTGACCATCTGTTTCTCCGGACCTGCCCCCTATCGAGCACGCTTGGGATACAATGGAGAGACGTTTACGTCAAGCCCCAAATCAGACATTGGCGTTAGCTGAATTGGAACAAGCGTTGGTTCAGACATGTAACAACATTCACCAAGTGTGGTCTATGCGTTGTCGTTGTCAAGCCTGCACCAACGCCAATGGTGGACACAAATGATACTCAATTGTGATCTTTGTGTCACGACGCCTTAAAGCTTGTGTCAAATCATACATGTTTTGATATTATCCTGTCAACAGTGAGTAAGAAAACACCACAAATCATGTTATTATCTTTTTGCATTAAAAATGGTATAACGTCAAATAATGCACAGTTCCTTTATTCCAGTAGTATATTTAAAGCAACAAAAAATACTAACTACGGTTCCATTTCAAGCAAAATGGGTGTCAACACTTGATCAGCAGATCACCATATCAGCAGATCACCATATCAGCAGGAGCACAATGAGGAGAGGACTGCGTCTGGCGCCCATATCGGGACACGTCATTATTCGACTAAATCTCAAAAGAGTGTTATACTAGTATTCAGAGGATATGTATAAAACGGAGGTCAATGGCACAGTGTTTGTGGTGATACAATAAACAAGTACCTGGGGATGCAGGTAAGAATTAACACCTTCCACTCGGAGAGCGTTCAGGAGGAATTCAGTTCCAATCGCCGAAACACTCCTCTATCCAGTATTATATTCCAGCATGAAGACAAAATTGAGAAACAATACAGAAAGAGTCACACCCGTGAAGATCCGGGTTAGAATTGATCAACCCATGCTTGAAGTAAGAGGCGACTAACGGGATCGGGTGGTCAGGTTCGCTGACTTGGTTGACACATGTCATCGGTTCCCAATTGCGTAGATCGATGCTCATGATGTTGAGCACGGGATTGTCTGGTCCAGACTCGATTATTTACAGACCGCCATATAGCTGGAATATTGCTGGGTACAGCGTTAAACGACAAACAACCAGAAAGAATAATACGGGTGTCTCCTGAACCTTAGCATCAACGACTGGAAATAGAATGCAGGCGAAACCCATAATATTTTCGACAACTATATTAAGGATAAAAACATGAAGCTTAGGTAGAATAGATATTTGCATCTAACGTTAGATTTGAGAAGAATTGGTGCAAATATATATTTAAGAGCAAGCTGCAATAAATATAACACATGTTCCGTCACGTGAGCTAAATCGATTTCTTGTGCATTTGTATTCCGTGATGCATGAGAAGACTGTATAATTATGCAGTCCAAAGCACACAGCTGACAGGCAGTGAGTGAGTTGGGTGTCACACCGCGTTTAACTGCATTTTAGTTATATGTTGGGGTCGGTTGGGTAGCCAAGTGGTTAAAGCGTCTGCTCGTCACACCGAAGACCCGGGTTCGATTCCCCACATGGGTACAATGTGTGAAGACCATTTATGGTATTCCCCGCCGTGATATTGCTGGAATATTGCTAAAAGCGGCGTAAAACTAAACTCACTCACTCAACTTTTGTGAAACCCACACCAACCATGGCAATGATGCTGACAAACTTTGACACGTAATTGGTATGGACCGTATAAAACCGTACTCACTCACTCACTCACTCCAATCGATATGAACCATGGTTTTCTGGTGCGACCAACGGACGGAACTCTGCACAGTGACTTACGGCGCCTTGGGCGACAGCGGCCAAATAGCTTACTCTGATAGAAGGAAACATGTTAGCTGTCTGTGAATATAACACGTTTTGTATCTGAAGGACTTCAAATATTTCTGAAAAAAGGAAGAATAATCGATTTGAAGAATATAGCCAGGGAAAAGCTGAGAGTTGGCTGCCAGCGTTTTAACACTGGGCCATACATCCCTTACAAATCTCCAAAGAATAAACAGTCACTTATGTTTTCAGTAAACGGGACACGTGATCTAAAGACGAACAGTAACTTTAGAGGTGTTCCGAATCAAAACGCGTTTATCATGGTATAGAACTGTTTGCGCTGCCGTTATACGATTTATACACGTGTATGGTGAGTGAGTTGGCACATTTCCCTATTTCCCCAACTATTTGCATAACCCACTGACCAGGGCTTACACACAAAGAAGCAGAAATGCATATATATATACCAACTTTCGGTACAGTGTAAGGTTAATTTGCTTAACCTATACATATACTGGCCACATAAAGAAACTGTGCACACAGACCACCCACGTTCTGGGCGTCCCCGAGTAACGACGCCAAGACAGGACAGATGGATTCGGTGACTCATATCAGACACAGGTTCCAGACGGCAGTGACCACGTCCCAAACCATTCCCCAGGCCTTCATTTGGAAAATTTGGTAGCCTCTATGCGTCGTCGATGCACTGCTGTGCTTCACGCGCATGATGGTCATACACGTTATTGAAATTGTGACTTCGACGTGTGACCCCCGACTCAATTTTGAACTCCTGACGTCATCGTTACGATACTGTTCACGTTCTTTGACATGTTGTTGAGGCCCGATACTTCAGCTTATAAAGTGTCTACATCATGTCGTCTTTTCTGTGTTGTATTCCAATTTGATGGAATTTTCTGTGTGCACAGTTTCTTTATGTGGCTAGTATATATACACTTCAGAATATACGGTCTGTAATAGAAATGCAACTGTATTATACATAGATATCAATGTTGATCA